TATGAAGAGAGTCAGCCTGTACTTTGAAATTTGAAGTCAAGCATTGTCTTCTTAACTCTAGCTATAAAAGTCCTAGATGGCATGTTTTTCCCTTAGTAGGCCATTTCATTTCTAATGAAAATCTACTGCTTAGGATAGCTACCTTCAACAATTATCTAAGCTAGACTTCTGGATAACTTGCTATAGCTCCTACGTCAGCACCTGCTGCATGACCTTGCACTTTGTAGAGATGACTTTTTTCCTTGAACCTCGAAAATGAATCTTTACTAGCTTGAAACTTTTCTTCTGTAGCTTCTTCACCTCTCTCAGACTCCATGGAATTAGAGTTATGACTTTGCTCTGGTTTAGGCTTTGGCTAAAGTGAATGTCGAGACTGGTTTTATCTTCTATCCAGATAACTAAAACTCTCCATATCAGCAATGAGGCTGTTTCACTTTCATCATATTCATGTGTTTATTGGAGTAGGAGGCACTTTTAATTTCCTTCAAATACTTTTCCTTCCCATTTATAATTTGTCTGTTTGACACAAGAGGCCTAGGTTTTGGCCCATCTCAGCTTTCTAATTCCTTTCTGTACTTAATCATTTAAGTCGTTTTGATTTAAAGTGAGAGACCTGCCTCTCTTCCTTTTATTTGAACACTTATAGACCATTGCAGAATTATTAATTGACACAATTTGAATATTGTTGTGTCTCAAGGAATAGAGACATCCAAAGAGAGGGAGAGAGATGGGGAAACAACTTGGTGGTGGGGCTGTCGGAATACACAAGACATTTGGTAATTAAGTTTGCCATCTTATGTGTTGTGGTTTATGGTCCCCTAAAACAATTATAATAGTAACATCAAAAGGCTACTCATGACATCACCATAACCAATATAATAACAATGAAAAGTTTGAAATATTGGGAGAATTATCAAAATGTGACACAGAAGTACTGAGTGAGCACATGCTGTTAGAAAAATGTTACCAATAGATTTACACAGTGCAGGGGTGCCACAAACCTTGAATGTGCCACAGGTGCCAAAAACCTTTGCAGACAGTGTATGTAAAACATACACTGTCTGCAAAGCACAATAAAATGAAGCAAAATAAAATAAGATACACCTGTAAATATGGCAGACACAGGTCTTCTATTGAGGTGCTTAATTAAGGCATGAAGAAACAGATAATTAACAATTAACAGATAATTATACAAGATAATTTCCATTGAGATACTTGCTTGGAAAAAAAAGCAAGATATGACTTCAGATAGAATGACCAAGGAGGCTTCTATGAAGAGGAAACATTTGATCTACATGTGAATGACAAGAGGTCTATGCCAAGAAAATCTTGGAGAATGTCTGTACAAAGTTCATAGGAAAAGAAGGGGCTTGACAATTCAAAAAAAAAAAAAAGAAGGCTATTGTTGGAATATACTGAAGGAAATAAAATAGCTACTAGATGAAGTCAGAGAAGGAAGTAGAGGTTGTTTAATGTAGGGCCTTATGAGCAATACATGGTAGATTCTGAATTTCACTCTCAGGACAGTGGGAATCCATGGGATAGTTTTAAGTGAGAGAAGAGCAGAAATGATTCTAAATGCCAAAAAAAGAATGGATTAAAAGGAGTGGGGAATAATCTTGGAAAAAAGATATCTTAAAATATTATTGCAATAGGAAAGCTGCAAATAATATATAAAAATATATCTTAAAATATTACTGTAATAGTGGCAATGCAGATGGAGGGAAGTAGACAGTTTGGGGCCATATTTCATAGGCTGAGCATTTAGAATTTAACATTATGTTAGGTTTCTATCCTGATTTAAAATTTGCATTTTACAGAGAGTTCTAAAAGAAGACCTTATATATTGTTTGTTAATTTTTCTGATACTTTTCATTTTTATAATTTTCGGATGTTTACAATTTTATTTTTCACTAAGCATGTCAACACTTTAAGATAATATATTTCATTTCAATGTGGGTACACATTTTGATGCAGGAAAGTACATGCTGTGGAGAGAAAAATATTCTTTCTTTATTTTTTATATCATGCTATCATCTTACATTGAAATCCCTCAGACTAAGACTTATTTGATGACTGCTAATTACACATTGATATATAGTTTTTAGATCTTTATAAAGCTTCACAAACACTTATTGAATTTTAAGAAATATTCTAGAATGTGTCAAGTGGACAAAATCATGAAGCTAAGTACTACAGTTAGGAGCTGTGTGAAAAATAAATAATAAATGAAGGCTAGCTGTTTGAAAATAATTACAAATTGTATTAATGAGTACAAAACTATTAGCCACTTCAGATGTGTAGCAGACTAAGTAAGAATAGCCTGCCATCTCTGTCTGAGAAATTAATATTAAACTTCAAGAACCATCATCCTTATAGCTCGTATTGGAGATGTTCTAATGCAGGAATTAATAAATAGTGGCATATTCACATGGATGAAGTACCCCAATATTTAGGAAATATATCCCTGCTTGCAGTCTTTTCACACTGTGTAGATTATATCTCTGGAAGCAAGCCTGAATACATTACTATATTTTCAACAATTGTAACACAATTAATTGAAATCTTAAAAACTCTTAACAAGGAGGTATGGATGGTAAAATCTATAAGTAAAGAGAAAACACTATGTAACATATGTTTATATAAAGTTGCTGATTATTCTTAGTCATTAGACAGTTGGTGGACAAATTTGCAAAGATGATATTAATGGCTCTAACATAAAGTAAGGATTAGTGTTTTTATCCTTAAATTTGTTATTTTTAACATCCAAATGTATGATAATGAACTAAAACAAAAGAAAGTATCTATTATTTGTCAGGTTCTGAATAGCAGTAGGTAATTTTTCAGATATTCAAGCTGTGTGCAGGAACATTTGTGTACAGGAACCAGACATAAATGAAAGTCAGAAATCTAATTTGTTGCTTTCATTACCATATTACCAGGATATAGCAACCTGGATCATTTTAGATAATTTAAATATGTGATAGACAAGCAAATAAATCAATAAGTACAGTAGGACTTTATTTTTCAGTTATTAAAAATATTCATTAAACTTCAACTACAATATACACTTTATTTGTATTGGCAATACAAGAATGAATAAAAGATACATACTCCTGAATCTCTCAATAAATGACACACAAAAACACACACACACACACACACAAATAACAAGTACACAAATGCTATGTCCATCAATAATAACTAAAGTGAATAAAGATGAAGCAGTTATTGGTTAGGCAATACAGAATAGGTGAAGATTACCGTATTTAAATAGAGTGGTCAGGATAATCTTCTTTGATAAAGTAATATTTGAGTAGAGCCCTAAAGAAGATGAAAAAAGTAAAGTGACCAAAGAGGTTTATATGGGGCAATTTTTTGTTGTATATTTCTATTTTCTCAGTATTGTTCAATAAATATCATTTTCCAATAGAGGAAAATGGTATGATTAAAACATTTTAAAAGATACAATTAAATTTACTTCCTATTGAATACAAAATACTCACAATTCCTTAATCTACCATTTAATGTTCTCTACAATTTAAATTTAAGCTCTCTTCATAGGTTTTCTCCAATAATTCCGTTTTTGCTAAGTGAAATATTTACAAATCTCCATATAGATACATACTTCCAAACCTTTTGTTTTTTCATATCTATTTGCCTAAAATACCTTTTCATCCTTATGTAAAGTTCATATCAATTTAAAGACCTAGCTAAAATAAAACATCTAAATAGAATCATGTTTCTTCACTGCAATTAATATTTTATTTTTCCATCTTTCATACTTTGTATCATAATTATTTCTGTACTTACTGATTCATTTTTTACGCTATAACATACTTAAGAAAGATGCCATGTCTATTTCATCCTTATACTCTTTATAATACCTAGAAAGTTCTTACAGTTGCTTATTTTCAATAAAATGCTTATCATTGATTAATTTGGCAATTGTCAAATACTAGATACCTTACAAATTCTCAAAACATTAATCCCGATTTGTATACATGCTATGTTTTTCAAGTAACTTACATTTCTGAGTAAGAAATGTTCTTTTTTAATGTCAACAATAAATAAATATAAATGTCATTTAATGAAACATTGCATTTTAAAATGGTTAACCAAATTGTTATCAGAAAGTATTTTTTATAACTTACTTCTTTTAAATTTTATATTCCACTACTTCAATGATAGAGATTCTTTTCCTCTAATATATAGGGCTTATCTAAAATTAGATTTTTAGAAAAGATTTTCCAACTAAGAACAAGTTTGAAAATTTTGAAATAGACTTCTTACATGATTTTTAGACTTTCCAGGTACATTTTTAACTGTGGAGAATGACTTGCTTTTATAAATTTGTTCCTTTTTGTAAATATCACGACGATTCAATTCTTTATTTATAAATATGTGTTGCTTTATCTCAGATTATTATTCCTATATACATAAAATATATAGGAATATAAATATACCTAAATATATTCCCAAATATATAAAATATATGGGAACATAAATATACCTAAATATATTCCTATATATATAAAATATAGGAATATATTTTATTCCTATGTATACCTATAAATATTTTATTCCTATAAATATTCTTAAATATATTCCTATATATATAAAAAAGAATATATATATATAGGAATATAAATATACCTACACATTTTGTCAGAGATTATCAACATAAAAATAAACAAGTAATAAAAATGAGTACAATTTGATTTTATTTGAAAATATCTTGACTGGGATAGACGGAAAAATGGAAAATCTTCATGTAAATACTAAAAAATACATCTTAATTGGAGTTATCAAAACTGTCAAGAGAAAAGTTGATTGTAATAAAATGCATTTGACACCTTTCAGACTGAGCAGAAAAACTGGGAAGAAGGAGTAGCTGTGCATGAACCCCAGCTGGAGAACCACACTCTCTTCTCAGGAATCTTCCTGGACATTTTCATCCTTAGTTACTCTGACCCTTCACCCCTCAGAATGGAATAGTTGTGCTCACTTTGGTAGCACGTATACTAAAATTGTGAATGAAATAAAGAAAATTTTCATGGCCTCTGAATGAGGAAAACATGCAAATTCATGAAGCATTTTATATTTTTTCAACAGAGTAAAAAAAAACAGCTCACAGAATGGGAGAAAATGTTCACCAACCTTGCACCCAACCAAGGCCTACTATAAAGAGTCTTTAAGAAACTTAAACAAACAACTCAACAAGCAAAACAACAACAACAACAAAAAAAGAATACTAAAAATGGACAAAGAACATGAACAGACACATCTTAAAAGAAGACATACAAGTAGCCAATAAACATGAAAGAATGATCTAAATCACTAATTATCAGAGAAAAGCAAATCAAAGTCACAATGAGATATTATTTCATACTGTTCACAATGGCTATTACTAAAAAGACATAAAATAATGGATGCTGGTGAGGCTGCAGAGAAAAGGAATACTTATGTACTATTGGGGGGAAATGTAAATTAGTTCAGCCATTGTGGAAAGAAGTTTGGAGACATCTCAAAAAATTCAAAACAAACTACCTTTGACCCAGTTATCCCATTATTGGGCAATACCCAAAGGAAAACAGATTGTTCTATTTTAAAAAAAGACAGAATTTTTTACAATAAAAAAGACATGGAATCAACATAGGTGCCCGCAAACAATGGATTGAATAAAGAAAATGTAATATATATATACACCGTGGAATACTACATAGCCATTAAAAAAGTGAAATAATATATTTTCAAGCAACAGGGATGAAACTGTAGGTCATTATCCTAAGTGAATTGACACAGAAACAGAAAACCAAATGCCACATGTTCTCATTTATAAGCAGGAGCTAAACATTGGGTATGTATGGACATAAAGATAGGAAAAATGGATACTGAAGACTGCTAGAAGTGGCAAGAAGGGGAGAAAGACAAAGCTGAAAAACTACCTTTTGAATTGTATGCTCATTTATGCACACACCAAACCTCAGCATCGTATAATATACCCATGTGAAACCTGAACGTGTACTCCTTGAATCTAAAATAAAAATTTAAATTATTTATAAAAATGAAATATTCACCTTGATCATTTGCTCTGGAGAATGTAAAATTACAGTATAAATATGAAGTATCTTTCTAAAGCAATAATTGGCATCTGTGGAACTAATAAAAGGCATTGACATACCTGGAGTGTTAAGATGATTTTTTTTTTATGTGAAAAGAAAAATACCCAGAATACATTTCCTATAGATCAATCTTATATTGATTTTGAGATATAATGCTACTTGGGAAATTAGTAAATATTTTAATTTAGAAACCAGAATGTTGATGTGGTAAATTCCTTCAAAATATGCAAAGAAATGACCACCCATGGAAAAATTATAATTTAAAAATATCTGTCATTATTTACATGCATGCAAATATGTAAGGCATATACTAGGTTCTTCAGATGTATCATATAATCTAATCCCTGTAAATTCATAGCAAGTTATAGAGTGGTGTTATCATCACTGCTCACAGAAAAGAATACTGAGGGACAAGAGAAGCACTTGAGTTCTTTTCCAAATCAATTTTGTCCTTTCTTAACTTTTATTTTAGGTTCAAGGGTACCTGTTCAAGATTGTTATATAGGTAAACTTGTGTCATGGGGATTTGCTATACAGATTATTTTGTTACTGTGTACTAGGCCTAGTACTCATTAGTTTTTCTGATCCTCTCCCTCCTCCCACCCTTCACCCTCAAGTAGACCCCAGTGTTGTTCTCCTCTATGTGTCCATGTGCTCTCATCATTTAGCTCTCACTTAAAAGCAAGAACATGCAGTATTTGTTCTGTTTCTGCTTTAGTTTGCTAAAAATAATGGCCACCAACTCCATCCGTGTTCCCATAAAAGACATAATTTCATTTTTTATGGCTGCATAGTATTCTATGGTGTATAGGTACCACATTTCTTTATCCAACCTGTCATTGAGAGACATATAGGTTCATTCTATATCTTTGCTATTGGGAAAAGTGCTGCAAGGAACATTCGCATACACGTGTCTTTATGGTTAAAAAAAATTATATTCCTTTGGATATATATACCCAGGAATGGTATGGATAGACTGAAAGGAATTTCTGTTTTTAGCTGTTTGAGAAATTGCCACATTGTTTTTGACAATAGTTGAACAAATTTACACTCTCACTGACAGTGTATAAGCATTTCCTTTTCTCTGCAACCTCACCAAATAACCTCTGTTATTTTTTGTCATTTTAACAATAGCCGTTATGACTGGTGTGAGATGGTATCTCACTGTGGTTTTTATTTGCATCTCTCTGATGATTAGTGATGATTTTTTGATTTTTTAATAATAGCCATCCTGACTCAAAGCCCATGTTTTTAACTTCAGTGAAGCACTGCTTTTGTATCAGGCAAGGAGGCATTGCATATGAAGGCACAGATTTGTTTTTCACACAGAAGGAAAGGTGGAATGTGGGGCTTTTGTCTAAGTCACAGGTGCTCACAGAAATAGTGTTTTGGAGAATAAGCCTGGCACATACTAACAACATATTTTTCTTTTATTATGATTGCTTTAAAAATGACTTATAAAATTGTTAAACTTCCTAGCAAATTTGTGGCTCATTAATTTATAAATAGTTCCATAGTTTAAAAATACATATTTTAAATGTTTAAGTTCAGGTGTTCCATGACAGGAAATAAAAAAAACTCTGAAATGACTATTATGATTTTATTATAATTTATGATTTCTCCAGTTTTAAATATTTTAACATTTAAATTACATTTTAAACTATAATTATGGGTCCAAAGCTACATGCAGATTATTCAAGTCATAAGAATGGTCAAAAGAATTGAAAAATTAATAACAGAATTTTAAAATATCTGAAACCCATCTGGAATTACAACAAGCTTGGCAGCTGGTAAGGATTCCCTCAACATATTTAACATTAAATAATATTATTATACTGTTATCAAACTACCAAATCAGTTTATAAGATGGAACCAATACAAAATTCTCAGAAGTACATGGAAGTTTAAATAAGATGACTCCTAATACTGTAAATGATACCAAGCTTGAAAGACTCTTCAAAAAGCTCCTAAGCATTGGTTATATAGAACTGAAAACACCTCACAAAAAGAGGCCTTCAAAATTCATCACTATCACTTAGAGGTAAGAAAACAGAATTTTACAAGTAAAACAAAGCTCTGTTTTTTAGTATGGAACAATATAATGAAAAACAGAGTAAAATCTGTGCTTTAAATAAATGACTTCTGCGTTTCTCTTCTAGTCATATTCTCTGTTCTTATATATAGTCTCTGCCACTTATTTAGTAGCCGACTATAGGATTTTTCCCTCTTCCACCAATAATGATCAATCTCATGAGTGAGCTTTGATACCATGCAAGCTTGCTTCTTTGTTTCTTAAATAATATATCCATAATAACAACTGGAATGTTTAGCAATAAAACACAATGTCTAGTTAGTTTATCAGCCATGTATAATTGCCACTATTAAAAAGGCTCAAAAATCCCTTTCCTCAATGCAGGAATATGAAGAGTTCCCAAGAATGCTTACTGTTCAAAAATGTAAATCACAGGGATGATGGAATAGCTGGGTAGAAAAATCAAACAAAAAAGAATAAAATGAACAAGCAATGTCAGGTAGCTTGCACTGCAGAAGTAAAGTGGAAATGCACCACAGCCAAAATGATTAATTATAAATAGTGAAACCCACCAGCAGATCACACAATATTCTTTGATAAAAGAAAAAAACTTCAGCTGAATTAAATTTAAAGGAGTTGAATTGAGCAATGAACAGTTTGTGAATTGGGCAGCTTTCTGAGCCAGAGTAGGCTCAGAGACTCCAGCATAGCCACATGGTAGAAGAAAAGTTATGGACAGAAAAAGAAAAATGATGTACAGAAAACAGAAATGAGGTATAGAAACAGGTGGACTGATTATAGTTTGACATTTGCCTTATTTGAACATGGTTTGAACAGTTGGCTGCATTTAATTGGCAAAATTCAGTTATTGGTACAAGTGTTGGCTACAGTCTGGTTATACCTCTACTTGCTATAGTTCATGATATACAGAGAAACCTTTAGGTCAAACTTAAATATGTAAAGACGAAGCTTTAGGCTAAAACTTGTTTTAACAATTCCCCCCTTTTGATCATCTTCTCAATCTTGAAAGATTGACCAAAACTTTAGTTATTGATGTCACTATCCCCATTGGCTTTGAACCCCACTTGGAAACAGTATAACAGTGGATTTTGCAAGGAAGAACAAGGACCAAGTAGAAGGTACCTCCTTATGCTGCAATGTACTGTTTACATAAGGAAAACAAAACTTGGTCTAGTCTAGGATCTATGCGTTTCCTTAAGTTTTAGTTTGATTATGTCCCGTTTAACATGGATGATACCATATTGGTTTGGTCTGGTTTGTTGGGGCCTAGTACATAAGCTGAGTCCAAAACAATGGTCTCCCATTGTTTTAAAAAATTCCCTTTTTTGGATCAAATATGTTAAAGGTTTAAAACACTTGACATAATAAAATATATTTCCAGGTCAATGTAAGTCATTCATTTAGCCAAAATGATAACTCAAAATTTTAAGAAAGGCAAAAACATTTCATCATTTATAGAGGGAAGACTTAGCTTTCCAAAAAAATCTGTCTCTTGTCTTTCCCTTCTTTTTACTGTAGTTTATTGTAAAAGCAAACAAAAATATTTCATTATCCTTTAATATCACTTGAAAATCTTATTCAAGAAAAAGCCAAATTTTACCCTTGCATTAGTGTACTATTAATTTCATCCCATTTTTAAACAAAACTTTATAGAATAATCTAGCCAATCTTAATCAGTTTGTACATAAGGTGAGATTCTCATAAACATTTTATAACCCTTTATAATTTTTGTTAAGGAGCAGATCAGTGTTCCAAGAAAACCCTGTTATGCTTTTATTCCAATGTTAAGTTTATGGGAAAAAAACGCACAATACTGCTTTAAATTTAGCCAACATGTTCATACACAGAATCTCTTTTACAATTAATTTTTCACAAACTTTTAACAATCTGCTCAAACATTTAGCTTTGTCCTATCTAATTTAAAATAATT